TAGCAATAAGTTAAATGACATCGAATCCAAATTTTTAATGCCCTATTAGAAAGGATGGGATGATATTCATATTGTAGTCTTTCAGCTTAGAATCTGCACGGCGAAAAATTGGTATTATGTCTCTGACTGCGTGACTCAACACAGTGACAATGCACGCTTTCTGCAGTGAACGTCTTTGAATAAGCCTCAGAAAATTCTCAAATTACCACCTTGTGAGTAGAGTAATTAGCCTTGGTTTGGGAATCACTGCCACAATATGATGAAATAGTAATGTATTTGACCACATGTGATAACTTGTGGTCGGGCGTGGTGATGAATATGTACTGAAGTCCCAGTTTAAATCTATTTATGTCTGATAATATTCACCAACCATGCATGAGTTTTTTCTGTCTTTATCGTGATTTTCACAGAGTGATAATTCCCACCGATTTAGAAGGCAGATCCAAAACCGTAAGATCTTCGGCATACTTCCTGTCAGCAGATGAAAAAAAACCACTCGCTGAGTTGGAATATCAATCGATGGGAAAAATTTCTTGCACGACAGAAACCAAATCGTTAACGAAACAATGCTTGCAATTGATTTCATTAGAAATAGGTAAGACGTGAATTACAGTATTGTCCAGAACAAGTTTTAGACTGCATTTAACATTTGATATTATTACACCAATAATTATATTTGCACATGATTGCAAGTGCAATTTTATTATTTTAAAATTTAATTTCTGAAAATATTGAAACGCCAATAAATATTGACCCACCAACGTTGCCATTGGTATTTTTGTCGGGTCTCGAGGGCGAGTTAATCATTTGCAACATTATTGCAATGTGTCACGTACGCGTATAGACTGTTCACTGCGCTAAACAATGTTATATGAAGGAGATCATTATGATTTTAGATAAACAAGGACACACTACTAAATATAGACATGTTTTTCACGTCCGGCTTGTTGTCTACATAAATATTTTGGCGGCTCGCGAGGTTCGCAAAACAACTCAAATAAAAGTCTTTTCAAACCAGGTTATGGGGAAACGCATGATTTTACTCACATGGACTAACTATTTGTCGATATTGGTTAACAGTAACATTGGCAATTTTTTCGGTATCGTTGTTTGTATTGGCTATATGTAGACAGATCTTTTCAATATATTTAGCTTCTTGGTGTGATCCATAATGTTGTGAAAAATAAGTCAGAATAAAGATGTTGACATTATTTTTCGCGTGGAGGGATCATGTTCGCGGTATTTGCTTCTTTAATTCTGAGCCATGCTCGTCCCCATCCCCGCGAGTAGAAACAGAAACAGAATTCAGACCTGTTTTTAGTTATTTACCAGTCAAACTAGCTCAACTAATTTGGGTATTGCTTCTGCGAAATTTTTATATTGACATTTTTAATATTACATGGTTGGACAAGTGGGACACGTGGTACAAGTGGGACATGTCGGGAAAGTGGGACACGACATTTTGGAGACACCCTTCCCCAAGTGTGCCGCCGCTCGATAACCAGTATTGGTTCTCGAGTCTTCTTTCACTCTGGAATGCGATTTTTTTATATTTATTTATTGGACACGTAGTGGACATAATGATCGTTTCAATATTATGTTGTTCTTGTTCTTGTTGTTATTTGACACAGAATAACACACCTAGTGGAAATATTAAAAAAACGCTTTTCTCTTCGAATACTGGATCAATTGCTTTGAAATTTTCAGTGGTTGAAGATGAAATTTTTTCCCAGAAGGCTATTACTTTTATTCATTTTAAATATTCCTGTTAGCTCTGTGAGATTTGTTTTTGTTTGCTATGACGTCATTAAACGTTTTGCGGACATCGGACGCCATTTTGTGTCCTACTGTACTGCTTCGCTTGGTGTGAATATATTTGTAGACTGTGATCTGACAGTACGGTACACCGTACTGTACTGCGAACAGACGTGTCCATATATTTGGGCGTAGCTCTCTTGTTTATCAGCATTAGTAGCCAAACCCTATGAGTTTCCCGATCGAACGCCGGGATTACTAGCGTCAATGCATCTGATTCAATTATAATATCTGTAACACAAACATCAATTTATTTTTATATTATCTGGAACATCCCTTTTTCAAACTAAAATAATGTGCACTATGAGTAATGCTCACAGACTATTGTTTTAACCCGTCTTCCGTGCATACTAAAGGTAATAACGAGAATATCGGTCAGAGACCGAAGACTTTCCGATCGAAAGTTAGGGGATCCCCCATAACAGCGCTCTTACTCCATAGTGACACCTTGTGTCTCATCACTAATTAATTATAACCTCGCTAATTATACGACATAATTCATCCAAAATCAATAGACTTCTGGTCCGACCCATGATGAATGCACATGCAAAATCTGGAGCAGATTCAATCTCGCTTTCGTGAGATATCGCGTGCATCTAACAGACAGACAGACAGACAGACAGACAGACAGACATGACAAATAATCAACATACTTACCGATTGAAATCAATAAGTAATTACATAGTATCGAACTCCAGGTATCGCAATATCGACGGTTTCGTTGGTATCGGCGACAAATGTGGTATCGGTACATCTCTAGAACTATCAGGTTCATTTTATCCAAAAGAGCATTCGAATTGTCATTTTATGATATTTCAATGAGACTTTTGGCACTATTTGTCACTGAGTAGCTCACCTATAATCACATAAGTGCGAACATACTATAAAACTTTATTTTATTTTATTTCTGGCTTATCCAATGTTCTTTAACATAAATACCATTTTATGCGGAAATATTAAGTAAAACTTGCTAAAGTTACAAAAATAATACTTGGATTAAATTAGTCAGGTTTTGTCTGAAATATTAAACGTCTCAAAGCACTATTAAACCGTAAATATAAACCATCTTTTTACCATGTTATACTGAAGATGAATAACACATTTGTACATATGAACATTATGTATGAATTGATAGTCAATTTAAACTTGGAAGTTCATTATCCACAAGCTTAGAAGCAATCGCGTGGGAGATGCGAACAATGTGCACGGACACGTGTATTTGATACTGTTGTGTATTACGTCATAGCTTGTTGTTTTTAACTCGGACTAGATTTGTGATTATGATGTCATAATTGGATTCGAATAAAAATGTTGCACGTCATAAAATGAACCTGTTTCGTTTAAAAAAAATATACAGCAGAAACATATAAAAATTCCTCTGTAGCAACAACATCAACTTCAAATGATCTCCAAAATCTACTATGATGTAACATAATGAACTATCTCTACTCTCTCTTCTATACTCTTCAGTCGAAACGGTTGCGAAATTGGGTGTATTGGGGCTGTTAAATCTTCTGTTTATGTACAGCTGTGGGATCCGAAGCGTAGTACAGTAAAAGCATACTTACTATGAACCGACGGAATAAAATGTCATGGCCGGTAGCTAATATCCAACTGGAATTTGCTGACGAGCCCTTTTATTTGAACTAGCGGAGTTTTGGACATTAATTTTAGAATGTTGAATAAGCTAGCAAGCTGATGAATTGATCATCCGGTATTTTTACGGCACACGTAATCATTACCGGTAAGTCAGAAGTTATCTTGCGCTAGTATCGTACTGGATTAATAAATGAAGAGGACATTTCACGGGAATTGTTTTTGATGGCACACCCTATACTAGAAGAGCATATCAGAAAACTCACTCCAATGAAATTGAGGTCAATGATGCTTACAACTCATAAATTGATATATCAGATGCTTGTTTTGATATGACTGATCGCTGTGGTTATGGAAAGGCTGTGGGAAAAATATTGAACAAAATAGGCACAAAATTGTCAACCGGTGACTGAGGCAAAATCAGAGTACATGTCGCTAATAATCTGGAATCATGACAGGATTCAGGTAGTGGAAATCAATGCTAGAAAATATTTTATAATGCCCAAGTGTAAAGAAGAAATCATCGAATCATCAATAGACAATCCTATCAGTTCTTGCATCTGCAATTACATAATCAAAACAAACCAACTACGCCTAAAATTAGGTTACCATACGTCCCGCTTTAGGCGGGACAGTCCCGCTTTTCAGCGTTTTGTCCCGCCGTCCCGATAAGTCAGCCAAAAGTCCCGCTTTTCCAGCATAATACACAAACATGTTCTCGTTACTGTTGTTTCTGAGTAGCGCAGCGCAGCCTACTTACTGAAGGTGAATGCGTTCGTTTCCCGCTGATTCCCATTGATGGCAGACGTATCGCATGTAAAACAATACTAATTAGTCTAAATTCGAATTATTTGTACCGGTATCGTTAACGTCAATTCCTTCCTATTTTTCGAACAGAACCCGATATTTGGACAGAGAATATGCGCATGAAATTTCGATAACAGTATGGTCAATAAAGACAGCCGCGACAGTTTAAATTAGGAATGTAGGCCTATGTAGTAAAATCGGAAAATGAAGTTATAAAATCACAGCTAAGGGCTCGTTATCCTTCGAGGCGTCCCGATTTGAAGTCACAAATATATGGTAACCCTACCTAAAATGAATCAGCTGTGCGGCCCTGTGCCTGTAGTGAAACACATAATTATTTGTGTCAACTCGAATTCCAAAAATCATCATTCCGATAAGAGTTCAACAATGAATAGCAAATTATTGGAGGTAAATAAAACTGGAAATCTGAATTCTAAGGCTGATTCATACTTGAAAATCTCAAGTAAAGTTTCGAAAATAAACTTGTGTGCCTCTAATACTTTTTTATACCGTTCATCGCAAATTGACAAAAGTAGAATTCGATATACAGTATTCAATGCAAACTATAGGTATACAACAATTTTTTAAAGACTGTAATGCAATTCTCAGGATTACAGAATTACCTTACAGGCAGACATATCTGCATGTGGTTATGGAAAAAGTGGAAATATGATAAATTGATAACTATTTGACAGTTTAACATGTTTATATTGTTATTGTTTACTTTAGTAATAGTACTTGGATGCTGACAGTAAAACTGTAGGCAGTCATACATGCAGTAATCTGGTGTTGAGAATTTTATTTTGTAATAATCATGTGATGGCATTGCAAAATTTTTTTGAGAATCGAAAATAATATTATCGGTTTAATTAAGGTTTACATTTGATTGTGAATATATTCGGTTCACCACAATACCACTGAGAGACGAGAAAAATTGAACATATTCTAATTTGCTTTACAACATATAAAAGTTGCTGTAGGTGACAGCACATTTGCACCCGCGTACATTTGCACTTGTATACTTTTGCACCCACGGACATTTGCACCAAAACATTTTCACCAACAGATTTTTAGCATCTGCATGGCTGTTTTAATCACAATTTACGTGCTGATTACAAGGTAAAATTTTGAAAAATGCAAATTCTAAAAGTAAACACATCGAGTAGATAGATAGATATACCGATGACCATAGAAGTAAAAAGGTCTTATGAGACCACTTGCTTGATAGATTAGATCAGATCACTATTCGGAAATTATTCACAGATTCACTACAGATGAGCTATTTTCACATATTTTCCATGCTGTAATCTCTGGCTATCTTATACTAATGTTCCATTTTGATCAAAATAAAAATTGTGAGTCATATTCTTTTTATCACCATTACGGGAATACTTCCATGAAACGCCTATCTGTGTATTCCTTTACTGTAATCTTGTCGGTTTCATCATTAGATGTTTTGTGACCAAACCCATCTTCATACTCGAATTCCTCCATCAAAGCGTTATCATCAGCTTGGCCAAAATACGCGATTGATCTTCGTGTATTCATCCTGTTACTTTGATCGCGAGGTGGCATTACACGATGACGCTGAATTAACAGAAAGCGACTTTTTAGGATCTTTAGAATATTGAAAAACATCATTTATCAATAATTCCTTACAATGAAGTGGCTTTATAGTTTAATATGATATGACATACACAAATAATTTAGTAATACGTAAATACCGTTGCACGTAGTCTTCCTCCACTCCATTTCTGCATCGTTTCGCCAAGATTTACGATTATTGTTCCTGGTATGGTGTAACATCAGTAAATTCTCCTTTCGCGTTCATTGCCTATAGTGATATATATTTATCAAATCGATTTCGGCAAATTTTCTCCAGGCTGCGTGGTTTACGGACCCCACTTCGTTGTCACCAGCAGCAATCTTGAATGTCGATTGCATTTTGGATACTGGCATTGTCTCGCAGGAGACTAATAACTGATTAACAGTAAATTCCTACGGTCTATTTCAACAATTTGCAAAAAATATTACGAATCTACGCTCACTTGTAATCCTCCATTTTGATCCTGGAATAACAGAATCAATGTTGTCCAATCTGTATGGTCAGCTATACGGAATTGGTTTTCTTTTAGAGTATCATCGGTGGGAACTGGCGGATAACTCACAATTTTATCATTGTCATATTTCCTTTTTATTCATCAGCGAATGGCATTTACAAAAATATTCAGGATCCTGTAAAAAATATTTTGAAATCAAAAGTGGTTTAATTTATATAGTTAAACTGCCGTGCCCATACTGGCGGTAGGATCACATTAAAAGATCAATCCATTAAATATTAGACTAGATGTTCCCAACCCTTATTGACGCATTCTTTCTTGCGATATGTGCAACTTATACTCTTGCTTTTGTACATTTTAAATAGTTTATAAATCATGCATATATATATAATTACAATAATACCAAATAAAAACTAATAATAATAGTACTACACGCAAATATAAAGTAAGATTTCCTCTCCTAAACATTGATATTCATCTCAGAGGAGGTTGGGAAATCTATTCAGACAATTCTGATGACTTACGCCAGTGGGAGTTCGACTTAAGCGGTATCTTTCAAATTTTTTATTTTATATATTATAAAAAACAGGAAAGTTGGACTTTTACAGTTACAGTGCAGTTCTTTGTTTACAGTGACTACCATGTTTCCCGAAAATAAAACTGAGTCTTATTTCAATTTTCTTCCAAAAAATAACACTAGGGCTTATTTTCGGGGAATGTTTATATTTTCATTTATTAAAAACAAAATTACAAAGTAGAGAATTACGAGATTTCTAAATATAAAACCAATATGCATTTAATTATAAATAACCCTATCTCAGGTCATTGAACCTTCTCCTCTCGCACAGGTTTCAGATTAATCATTTAAAACGTATAGGAGAGATTTTTTTTAACGACTCTGCAAAAAAAAAACGCTTTATTGATTAATTCAGGGTAGCTCTCATTTTCGGGGAAACACAGCAAGTTTAGAAACGTATTATTAAATACTGTATTCTGCGAAGTCTAGCGTGATGAACGAACTTACTTTTAATCGCATTGCACTTCCGAGAGCTCTTAACAGTCTCATCTCGAGTATTTTACATATATCAGCTAATGCTAAGAGCTTTTCTTTAAACTTTGGAACATTGGGCCAGGGTGTACTTTCGTCTTCCATGGCGGAACACAGCGAACGAAATCCTTCGTAGTAATCGAACTCTCGTTTTGGGTTAGCCATGTTGAAAAATAGATGAAAATCGTTAATATCAAATATTCGAACTCCAGCTATTTTGTTCATCAAACAAAAATTTTTAACGATTAGTAAAATAATTTGCTTACTTCCGCTTCCGACTGGATCATATCCAAAAAATTTTAAGGTAAAATTTCTTTTCTCTTCTAGAGGAAGTGAGTAAAATTCTTCTGCGACTTTGTTTACTCCATCAATCGATTCACTAGACATAAACACAAAGTTGAAAACACTGCTTACAATCGCACGGTTTCATTTGATGTCTCGGCTTTTCTAGTTTTCACAATTCGGCAATGTCACATCTCAGATAATACGATAAATAAAAAAGCCTAATACTTTATTAAGATTCAGATAGAACGGGTGATAGACAGAGGACCTTATATGGAGTGATTAAATAAAATATCAATTCATCTTTACCTTGGTAATCCGTGATTTGACAAGTAGACGAATCCGGATGTCGTGAATGCGCGGTATAAGATCTTCCCCACATCATGGATGGTTTCATCACATATTTCTGCATCATCAACCTGGAGTCCACATTTTGATAGATCAACTATTGGAATTTCATCTGTCATAATTGTTTATGAACCTGACATTTATGGCCTACTCTCCAGAATCAAATAAAGTTTGGTCTCACTACAAAAAAACCACATGCATATGAAAGTGATAATATTGTGTTAATACAAGTCGTGTCGCGAGAGAGGGAAATGAACCCACATATAAAAAATAAAACGTGAATAAAATAATATAAGATTAAAGAAGTAAATTAAATATTGGATAGCAAAACACCATATGCATGCTCGCGATACTACCAACCAAACTGATACAGCTTTTGATTCTATTGACCTGATTAAATATGTGATCAGAAACGTTAGCCAGGAGAGAATCTTTTTTCGTCAGACAACAGTAATGTGACTGTGAAGCGAGGTAAACAGCTTTGCGGTTTGTTAATATATCTAACTCAGGGGTTTCCAAACCAGAGGTCGCGACCCCAAATTGGGTCGGAGTGGTAAATAGATATTAGATAGGGTCGCAAACAGGTCATGGGGTCGCTGAGGTATGGTAGAGGATGGATGTACAAACCATCTAGGATTTGACAAACCATGTTAAATTTAGCAGTTTGTAGCATGGCTTACTGTAAAACGGGTCCATAGGCATGCTCTATGCTTATGCTATAAATAATGTAGGTGCTTATTGTGACACACTTAAAAGTTGTTTTTGGAGTCGTCCTGAAAGAAGCTTTGGAACCCCTGATCTAACTATTTACATGAGGCTGACTTCGTAGACTGCGTCAACGTAAGACAGAAAACTACCAGTTTGTGATTGATGGCACCCAAGCGCACCAATTTATCACATAATACACGTTGAGCCAAAATTACTGAAAAATTGATTAAGTGAGCTCCGCTATATCCTAACACGAGCATCACAGCACAGGGTTGGATGAGAATTTAAAATGAAATGAAACCATGTGGATGTGATGACTGACTAATGGAAGCCTCGACTGGCGATTTGTATTACTAATATCCATGTTCGTCTAACTAATATTTTTACTCTCTGTTTTGAACTAGATTTGGGTTATTATCAAAGATTAATTACGTTAATCGTCGAATGCCGGTATATAAAATTTGGATAATAAAGTTAATACACGGCATGTATATGTAATTAACCTCATTTTGTTAATATTTAGTCCATCCTTGTGTAGTAGATGTATGCAATCTTTCATTTTTGTTCTAGGATCTGGATGGTAAATAACGCAGATAAAGAAGTGATTTATAGGAATTATCTCTGCTACAAGTTGGGACAGAGGAAATTTTCAACCTCTACTTCTGCCTATTTGGAAGGATACGGTATATATCAAGGTAGGTGAGAAGTGCTGATGATGATAATTGTATATGGAGACGATAGCATTCGATTGTTATCAAAAATCCAAAGATTAGTTATATATATATATAATATGAAAAAGTCATGATGTAAGCAAAATTACGCTTTGTTGTGTTTCCGTGTAACCCGTGACTTCAACATCCTATCTGATTCTCATCGTCATCGTCCTTCAATGGCTGTCATTGTAGAGAATCAACTCCATAGCTTTAGGTTAAAGGGACATCGAATCCAAATTTTTGATGCCTTATTAGAAAGGATGGGATGATATTCATATTGTAGTCTTTCAGCTTAGAATCTGCACGGCGAAAAAATTGGTATTATGTCTTTGACTGCGTGACTCAACACAGTGACAATGCACACTTTCTGCAGTGAACGTCTCTGAATAAGCCTCAGAAAATTGTCAAATTTACCACCTTGTGAGTAGACTAATTAGCCCCGGTTTGGGAATTACTCCCACAATATGATGAAAATAGTAATGTATTTGACCACATGTGATAACTTATGGTCGGGCGTGGTAATGAATATGTACTCTGAAGTCCCAGTTTAAATCTAGTTATGTCTGTAATATTCACCAACCATGCATGAGTTTTTCTGTCTTTATCGTGATGTTCACAGAGTGATAATTCCCACCGATTTAGAAAGCAGATCCAAAACCATAAGATCTTCGGCATACTTCCTGTCAGCAGATGAAAAAAACCCACTTCCTGAGTTGGAATATCAATCCATGGGAAATTTTCTTGCACGACAGAAACCAAATCGTTAAAGAATTTATTTTAATATTTTAAAATTTAATTTCTGAAAATATTGAAACGCCAATGAATATTGACTCACAAACGTTGCCATTGGTATTTTTGTCGGGGTCTCGAGGGCGAGTTAATCATTTGCAACATTATTGGCAATGTGTCACGTACGCGTATAGACTGTTCACTGCGCTAAACAATGTTATATGAATGAGATCATTATGATTTTAGATAAACGAGGACACACTACTAAATATTATACATATTTTACGTCCGGCTTGTTTGTCTACATAAATATTTTGGCGGCTCGCGATGGTTTGCAAAACAACTCATATAAAAGTCAACTTTCCAAACCAGGTTATGGAGAAACGCATGATTTTACTCACATGGACTAACTATGTGTCGATATTGGTTAACAGTAATATCGGCAATTTTTTCGGTATCGTTGTTTGTATTGGCTATATGTACACAGATATTTTCAATATATTTAGCTTCTTGGGTGATCCATAATGTTGTGAAAAATAATTTAGAATAAAGATGTTACATTATTTTTCGCGTGGAGGGATTATGTTCGCGGTATTTGCCTCTTTAATTCTGAGCCATGCTCGTCCCCATCCCCGCGAGTAGAAACGGAAACAGAATTCAGACCTGTTTTAGCTATTTATCAGTCAAACTAGCTCAACTAATTTGGGTTTTGCCTCTGCCAAATTTTTATATTGACATTTTTAATATTACATGGTTGGACACGTGGTACAAGTGAGACATGTGGGGAAAGTGGGACACGACATTTTGGAGACACCCTTCCCCAAGTGTGCCGCCGCTCGATAACCAGTATTGGTTCTCGACGTTCTTTTTTCACTCTGGAATGCGATTTTTTTTATATTTCATTAACTTT